CAGAGGGAGAAGCAGACTCCCTGCTGAGCAGGGAGCCCGATGCGGGACTCGATCCCAGGACTCCAGGATCATGACCTGAGCTGAAGGCAGTCGCTTAATAACCGACTGAGCCACCCAGGTGCCCTCATCTGGGATATTTTTAAAAGCACACCCACAAGCATTGTGTTTAGACTTGGCATGTGTATGTGTATTTAAAATACTCCTCATCCACTTCTCTTGCCATCCTGAAAAATTAAGTCCTAAAGCCATATAGTGTGGCAAAGCAAGGTGAGCGTCTGCAATGGGCAGGTGGGGGTGTTGGTAGGACCCAGAGGACCAAAGCCAGAGTGTCAGAGCCAGTAGGGTGAAGAGGACAACTTGGGGGTGGGGTGGCAACAGAGGTGGGGAATTGCTTACATATGGGGGGATTGACCAAGTAAGGAAATAGTTTAAGATAAATAGAAACCAGGTTTCTCACTGTTGGAGAAGGGAGTTATGAGTAGAATTAACATTGGGGTATTGGATTGGAATGGGAGGTATCAGTGCACTCCAAGTTAATAGAGAGATGACAGATGAAAGTATCTGTGTACATATGTGAGTATACGCACAAAACACACGTGCCTTCACTCCATTTACTGAGTCTAGAAGCAATGACATCCCAAAAGTGATGATTATCTTTTGGCTTCTAAACAACATTATCCACTATTTTAAAAAAAGAAAAAAACAAAAAACAACTCCTTGGAGAAATGGCTGAATCCAGGGCTGAAGCAGAGAAGGTACAAGATGAACCCAGATAAAGAAGAAGTGGTACATATATACAATGGACTATTACTCGGCCATCAAAAAGAATGAAATCTTGCCATTGGCAATGACATGGATGGAACTAGAGGGTATTAGGCTGAGCGAAATAAGTCAGTCAGAGAAAGACAATTATCATATGATTTCACTCCTATGTGGAATTTAAGAAACAAAACAGATGAACATGGGGAAGGGAAGAAAAATAAGATGAAAACAGAGAGAGGAAGACAACCATAAGAGACTCTTAACTCTAGGGAACAAACTGAGGGTTGCTGGAGGAGAGGTGTGGGGGGGGATGGGGTAATTGGGTGATGGGCATTAAGGAGGGCACGTGATGTAATGAGCACTGGGTGTTAAATGTCACTGATGAATCGCTAAATTCTACTTGTGAAACTAATAATATACTATATGTTAATTAAACTGAATTTAAATTAAAAAAAATTTTAAAAGATGAATCTGGACCATATTCTTGTGTCAGAAGGCTAGGAAGCCCTCTGAAAAATGATGGGGCTATGTTACAAGGACACAGCTTGAATGAGCCACACTAACCCAAGCAGGGCATGTCTGAGCATCAAAATCACCACTCATGGATTATAACTCATTGAATGAAATAGAAGCCAGGAATCCATAGTGATACCAATAAATGTATAAAGATTTGGTGAGGAGTAGAATATGTGCATAGATTCGAAATTCCTCCTCACAAAATGTTTATTAATGATGGAGGGAAAATGAGTAGCTCTGTAGGGGGAAGCCTGGCAGATGGTCCAAGGGGAGTGGTCCAAGTCATCACCAGTAATGGGATAGTCCAAAGGCCCAGGCCACCTGATAGGACGTTGTGAGAAGGACACAGTATAATCCAGTACAATCTAATCACGGGAAATAGAGGAACCCGCACTAAGGACATGCTACAGAATACCAGACCCGTAGTCTTCAAAAGTGTCAAAGTCACGAAAGTCAAGGAACCCCTGAGAAATGTTCTAGACCAAAGAAGTCTAACCAGACACCACAGCTAAAAGCGGCACGCTGGAGTCTTTGTTTAAAAGGCATTTTGGGGACAGTTGGCAGACTGTGACCAGGGTCTGTCAACGGTGAGTAGAACGATCAGTGTGTTAGTGATTGGACGTACCCTTGATTTTGATGACTGTATTGTAGTTTTGTAGGAGAATGTTCTGTTCGTAGGATATGCACCTAAACTTTTCCAAGGTACTGGATTTCAGGTTGGCAAGTTACTTTCAAATGATTCCAAACAAACAAACAAAAAAGTAATTTATACTATATGCACAACTTTTTGTCATCTTTTGGTTGTTGTCAAGTATTTTTAAGTATAAAAGTGAAGCATTCTGAGTCAGCAAAAATAAATAAACAAACAAACAAACTTTAAAAAAATAGGTACAATAACAACAACAAAACTTCCCATGTCCAGGGCGCCTGGGTGGCTCAGTCATTAAGGTCTGCCTTCGCTTCGGCTCAGGGTCCTGGCATTGAGCCCTGCATCAGGCTCCCTGCTCTGCCAGAAGCCTGCTTCTCCCTCTCCCACTCCCCCTACTTGTGTTTCCTCTCTCACTGTGTCTCTCTCTGTCAAATAAATAAATAAAATCTTAAAAAAAAAACTTCCCAGGTCATTGATGCATTCCTGAAGAGTCACAGTTTTTGTTCTAGAAGGAATTCAAGCAGTTAGCTGTGGGCTATGAACGTACAGCTGTTTCCCCAGGCCCCCCCACCCTGGATTCTCCAGCAGGACCCCACTTGCTAGCTCTGGTCCTGCCCGCTCCCATGCTCACAGACCTCCCTCAGTGGATCCTGGGCATCCTCCAAGTGCTCCAGAACAAGTCCAGATGCCACCTGAGGGTCTTGTGTGGGTGCTGCCACCTTGGCTGCTGCAGAGGCCCCATCAAGCTATGAGCTCTAACTCTCTCGTCTCGATGGGCTCTTCCCTCGGGGTGGCCGGGTTGTTGAAGGACATGAAGGCTACAGTCTTCTATCCAAATATCTTGAGTCTAAGTGAATGCATTTCTTGGAGCCAACTCTTTCCCTGAGCCTCAGACATGATTCAGGGGTGTGGGCTGTGGAGGGCCCAAGTAGCCTGGGTCAGAGTCGCTCCCCTCCTGGTCTGAGGACTGAAATCCAGGTAACCTTCTCACTGCCCTCTTCTGTTCTGGGGGGAGTGTTTCCTAGAAAGGCCCCAGATCTTTGTAGCAATGGACCCCACCAGCCCACCTGACGTGCACAGATACACTTGTGCTCCTGATGAGTAAGGCTTCAGCTCAAGCTGCTGGACATAGGAATGACCCAAAAAAGGAAGCCTCCATCCCTCCTGCCCTCACTGCATCCTTGTTAAATGCCTCCAGATAACAAGTCCCCATGTTGCCATGTGCTCTGGGTGGGCTGCCTCTGTCGCCAGGGGGATCTTTTCTTAAAGGTGGCCAGCAGCCATCACCAGAAGCTTCTCTCCCATTGTCCCCTGAGACTACCGCAGGGTGGGGCGAGGAGCTGGGCCTTGTGTTTTTGCCATCAGTGGGTGGCGTGGCAGGGAGGTGGCCTCCGTGGGCCTCAACAGGCAGGGTCCATGGAGGTAGGACCTAGATGGAGGGTGTTGTCTTCAACATCCCCCACCCTAACTCAGGCTTGCTTTGCTTTGCTTTGTCTCCTAGTGTGGACAACTCTGAGGACCCCGTGTACGAGAGTCTAGAGGAGTTCCATGTGTTTGTCCTCGCCCATATATTAAGAAGACCAATAGTTGTCGTAGCAGATACGATGCTGAGGGACTCAGGTGGAGAAGGTAAGTTGATACATTAATAAAACAGCCATATATGATGCATGACCCAGAAAACATAACATCCCAATTAAGGAAGAGACAGCCTAATGTACGAGTTGAGGATCCCAGAAAGCTACAGAGCCTTATTGTGTATGGATGAAGATTGTAGTATTTCTCATTTCTCCTTGACGTGATGTGTTTCTTTTTCTTCCCCAGTGGCAGGAGGGGTTACTCTTGGTCACCCACCCATCCATCTAGACTTTGTGTCAATGACAGGTGGCCATGAGAAATCTGTCTGAGTGACAGATGGAACTAAATCCAGAGGGTTTCTCAGCCCCCACCCATGTGCTCAGAGTGAGGCAGGCAGCCCACACCCCTCCAGGTGCCAGGCCTCATCCCAGGGCCACCAGCCACTATAGTCCCCTCCTACCCTCTGCAGCCTATGTATGTCAAAGGGAAAAAAAAGACAGAAAGCGTGAAGTCACAGGGCAGAATTGGGACTGGAGAAGAAGAAGGAAAGGACAGCAAGGGCTGCTTATCGCCTGCCCACCCCTGCCGAGAGCCAAGCACTGGCTTTCACGGCCCCTTTGCATGTGCTCTCTCCCTCGGCCCTCCCCACACCCTCCCAGGGTGGACACTGAAGCCGAGAGAGGCTACACAATGTGCCCCAGCCCTCGACTAAGGCCTTGGAGGAACCAGGCCAACCCAGGGCAGCCTTTCTGCCAGAGTGAGGGGCAAGGCCACTTGAGAAGTCCATGAGGCAGCCATGCTACCTAAAGAGGAGGAAAAGAAGAGGGGCCAGGGAAGGTGGGCCAGAAAGGTCACCCCCAGTGCAACTGCCCCAGCCTCTCAACAAAACTCCCCATTTCCAGCCCCTCCACACTGTTTTCACCTTCCCTTCACTTCCATTACCAACACGAGCCAGTCCCTTTCGGCGCCATGTTTCCCTTCCTTCACTTCTTGAGAAGGTCTCCTTGCTAGGCGAATGCCAGACAGTGACTTATCCCTCCAGCCTAACTTAAATTTAAACCAAAGCCTTAACAAAAGTCGTGGGGCTTCCAGAGAGTCCTACAAATCAGGATGAGGGTCTTCATACTAAATCACAACTGCCAAAGAAGACCAGTGGGGCCACGGCTGTCATGGTGGGAGGAGCTGGGAGTACATTGGTCTTGCCCAGCGCCACTTCCCTCCCTGTGCAGCCCAGCGACAGGGGCTGCTGAGGTCTTCAGCCTCTCTGGGTGCAGAGCCAGGACCCTCACTGGGGTCCCTGGGCACATGAACCTGTACCCATCAAATCCTACAAGGCTGGGTCCATGCTTCTTTCCATCCTACCTGTGCTCAAGAGTACAGCCCTCTTGAAAGTGGACCTACCCCACCTCTCAGCCCGTGGGCAGAAACACAGCGAAAAACCAATGTGTTTTTTTTTATTATGTTCAATTAGCCAACATATAGTACATCAAATAATGATTGAAAAGAAAATAAAAAAAGAAAATTGCACAGTTAGGAAAATAAAAAGAAAATTACATAGTATTAACACCCAGGTGATCTAATACTGGAGCCCACATTCCTCAATATATGCTTATTGCTTCCAATAAAAGATTTTAAAGTAAAAGAACAAAAATAAAACTTTTTCAGATTGTTTGGGGGAAAAAAAAAAAACCAATGTGGATAAAGCAGGGTGGGTAGAAGGAAACCTAAGAGTTCCTCAAAAGCCTCACGGAACTGATTGTTGTTGCATTCAGCTCACAGAAGTACAGTGAGTGAGTCACCGATTCCAAGGCCAAGAGGCAAAGTTCTTTATGATTAAAAAGCATATGCTGTACAAGGGCAGATATTTCTGGGAGTTATTCTATTTCAGTGAGGGTTTAAGTCTCTCTTCCCTCTCTTTGATGAGTAAGGGAATGAACATGATTATGTCCCAGTTGCTAAAGGAGCCAATCCCCATCTCTCATTTCCCGTCTGACTCACAATTTGGTTCTGGAGTTTTCTGGTTGGTTCCTTTGGACTCAACAGAATAGCTTCTCAAAATGTAGAACAAGCAAACAAAGATTTTGTTCTGTATACATATGCTTTCATGAATACACGGAGAGGAAGAAGCTCATCCAGAAAAACACGGATTTCCAGGCAGTCATCAGTGGATGTCATTGCTGACCATTGTGAGTTCTTGGTCACCTGTGCAGGCCTCAGGACAACAGGCTGTCCCTGGGAAGATTACAGCAAAAAGCCCTCACCCCTGTCCCACTTGTCCCCAGGGCACAGCCTGACAAGAGCCACCCCTCTGCCATGGAAGCAGGAGGGAGTGAGGGGTTCCCTGGGCATGCATGGGACTGCAGGTCTCATCCCCCTGGTACCCGTGAGCCTCACCCATTGCCAGGTGGGCAACACCCAGCTTACTGCCATGTGGATGGAGCGGCTGACACCTAAGGCATGGTCTGAGACCACCCTCCCTTCCCTCTGCCCCACCACATCGTGCAGGGTGGTGAGGGATGCCACCCATGTACCCTTCAGGCCCCACATGCGCTCACCATTTCTGTCCACAGCATTTGCTCCAATCCCATTCGGAGGGATTTACCTGCCCTTGGAGGTGCCTCCCAACAGATGCCACTGCTCTCCTCTGGTTCTTGCCTACGATCAAGCGCATTTCTCTGCCCTCGTGTCCATGGAGCAGAGAGATCAGCAAAGAGAACAAGGTATGCCTGCCGCCATCTGAGAGACAATGTATTGGCAGGGGTGGGCATCGGAGGGCACGGGGAGGCAGAAAGTGGGGTCCTCCATGGAGAGCACACCCATGCACAGTGAGGGGTTTTGTGTGCCTATGGCATATAGATGGGTATGTATGTATAAATGTTATCATTGGAAATAACAGTGTCAAAGACAACTTTTCACTTAAAATACAAAGCAAATGAATAATTCCTACCACACTTAAAGAGCCTTTACTGTTTTCCCCTTTCACATGTATATATATTTTATATGGATATAATTCATCTTAGAGGCAATTTTTTTTAAGTCCCTAGAGCAGGTGTCAGCAAACTATGGCCCACTGCCTGGTTTTGTAAATAAAGTTTTATTGGAACACAGCCACATTCATTCACTGATGTATTATCTGTGGCTATTGCTTTTGCGCTACAAGGGCAAAGTTGAGTAGTAGCCACAGAGACTGTGTGGCCTGACATATTTACTAACATATTTACTAACTAACACTTTGTGGAAAAACTTTGCCAAGCTCTGCTCTAGAGTAAGCTTTTGAAACAAAACGTTGATATTTTCTTTCAAACTGTTACAACTGTTTCCCACAAATAGTCATTTCCATGCTGCAGACAGGCTCACCAGGCCAGCTGCACAGGCTGTGCACTGCACAATTCCAGGCGACCAGTCAGACACTCATGTGGAGCCTGTCTTCCATCAGTGCGATATGTGTCTTTGCTGTGGAGATGGTGGGATTCTGATTGGAATGGTTGTTGTTTTCTTGTGTTAACTACTGACTAGCTGAGTGAAGAGGGGGAAACTCATCCTCTTGTTACTCCTGTTTCTGGTTTAGACACAGAGTCCCCCAAGAGACTAAAAGACAGGCAGGACTGACGGTTTCAGGGTCCCTGCCTTTGGATGTGGTCTCAGGAAATGCGTGGTGGCTAATCATGCAGCGATGTGAGTCCCAGAAGGAAAAGGAGAGCAGGGTTGCTGCAGCTGTAATGGGAATATCACATCATTTTTCCACACCATTTACAGACATCTCACTTGGGTCACAGAAAGCAACATTTAGCCGTGAAGGCCTGAGAGGCATTTCTGCCTTTTTTGTAGTCTCTCAGCCTTTTGGCCTTTGTGGGTTTCTCAATGCTTACCACAGCCCTTGGGCGATGTGGGGGGCCTTTTTCAGGCCCTGGGATCCCAGCCAGGATCTAGGCCCTTCTGTCCAGAGACTCTCTGCGGTCAGGGAAGGCGAAAGTTCCAGGGCTGGCATCTTTAGTTGCTGAGCAGGGGACTCAGATGCCCAGCCCCCTCCTCACAGAAGGCATTGAGCTTTCTTCCAGGCCTTCCAGATACTGCTTTTTGGTGTTTCAAGGTGAATATGCAGGTGCCCTTCAATAAAAGGATGAAGGTGGAGGGGCTGTCACTTGACTTCACTCAGGGGAGTGTTGCAGAGGTGAGAGTGGTTTCACCTCTCACAACTTACTTTTCCCAAAGGTGAATTTTGGTCCTAGTCCTTGGTTCTGTGTGGCTGTGCCTTGGGCTGCTGCAGCTCCGCCCACTGGGTTACTCCTCAGAGTGGTGGGCGTCCCTGCCTCCACTGTCCTCTTGTGGCCAGCGCTGCACATTGACCCATCCAGGCCCCACGATCCACTGCAGAGCAAGTATTCCAATGCCACCTTCTGCACAAGCAGAAGCAAAGCATGTGTAAGTGGCTCCCACCGGCTGGGTAACTTCTGTGCAGCATGTCAGACCTTCATACATTTGGAGAGAACACAAGGGCTCTGCAGACTTCTAGGCTTTAAGTATTGCTAGCAACATGTCCCCTGTGGCACCCTTGTCAAGCTAGTGACCCTGCTCCCTGTACCTCATATCAGCCTGAAGTTCAGTGGTCCTGCAGCATTTCTTTGGGGGCCAAGGGTTAGTTCAGTAAATGCATGGAAAGCTCCTGTTACATTCAGGTTTGGGGGCCCCAAAGATGATGGCATCCCTGCCTTAGGGCTCTCACTACCTTGTAGGGGAGACAGGCAACCCCACCAAGCCATAGTACAAGGCGGGATATACACCAAGCAGGCATGAGCTGCATTCAGGAAGGGAGCAATTATTCCAGTTTGGAAGAACAGACAGAGAGACTAAGAGAGAGGTGGGTTAGAACTAGTCTTGGAAGCTGTGTGTGATGTCCAGAGGCTGGTAGGGGACAGACTAGGTCTGAGCAGAAGTGCTGGGCTGCTGAACGAGCGTCGCTGTGGTACAGCAAGCATATGCTGTAAGAGTGTGGGCATGGAAAGGCCTGGGCACTGCTGCTTCCTTGCTGTGTGGCACGAGGGTTGCTGTGGGACCTCCCAGCCTACCTCCTGTCTGTCGGCCAGGGCAGTAACACCCACCTCCCCAGATGCTGAACCCGCTCACCTTCCCTGCCCTGCCCTTGATCCCCTCACCCCCACTTAACTATGAAGTGACCATTGCAGGACAGTCCCTCCATGCACTGAAGTCCTCAGTGGCCTTGCGAGTAATCACTAGGAAACAGCATTGCCTATCCTAAGGCAGACCTGTCTCCTGATCCTTCAGTGTTGCTTCAAAGATAAACCTAAAGGTCTTGACTCTATCCCTTCCTGGCCATCGTTAGTGCCCAGTGTCCCACTCAAAAGGATCTGTTGAAGGTGGGAGGAATAGAGAGGACCTGTCAAGGGAGCCATCACCAGAGGAAGCCAACCCCTGGGCTCCTCAGGGGTGCTGTCCTGCTTTCCTGGCCTACAGCAGACACTGCAGGGGCCTCTTTGCAAATACCAGATCCTAACATTTCAGTTATTACTGTTGCCTGGTAGTTAGGGGTACTGGAGAGAAGCTGAGAGGTCAGGAGCCCATCTAAGGAACAGACTCAGCCTCTCTTCTCAGCCTTTATAATGCCAAGGGAAGTGGAAACAACCACAGAAAGCCATGCTATAAGCCCCCAAGGGAAGATGTGTTCTGAATAGCACTGGGCTGCAAGGGCCTCACAGGGGAAAGGGGCCACTGCCACCTCTATAACAGGGAGTCCTTCCTGAATTGGGTTGTCCAGGGCTGGCACAGCTGCTCTAAATGTTCTCAGGGATTCAGCTTCCCAGCCTCTCTCTGTTCCACCATTATTATCCTGTGGTTTTATCCTCATGGTCACAAAATGGGTGCTGCCACTCCAGCCATCACATCCAAATACCTTCTCTTCATGAAAATTTAACTTTTCATTTAAGGGTAAACCTTCCCCAAGGACTTGTGCTGGCCTCTTGATAACCAAAACTGAGCTCCACGCCTGCAGTTTCCCAGCTGCAGAGCAGTCTAAGTAGGGAGTACAGCAAAGGAAGGAGGGGGCGAGGTGTTTAGTGGAGTTTGGTGAGCCAGCTCTGAATCAGGGGGCAATGTGATGTTTTAGCAGTTCCATCTGGATTGTGCTCTTTCTTTCGACAGTGATGAGTACCTTATATCTGGAGAAAGGCAAAAGTACAGAAATGAATTCTTTCCAACTGGGCCCTTATCTGGAAATAAATCACTGTTGGCTGTTGGGCTCTCTATGCCCTAAAAAGCCGTAGTGCATGAGGCTATCAGTGCCCCACTCCATAAAAGAAAACCCATTCTCTTTAAGTGCAGAGAGATAAGCAGGCTGTCCTGCAGCACCACTCAATTCTTTTTAATCTCATGGTGCAGGGGCAGCCACAGGTAAAGGGTGGTGCATGCTCCATGCTGTCCTGCCAGTGGCCAGTGCCCCCACAGGAGGGAGAGGCACTGGGGGTCCTGCTCCAAGCCAGACCCGGGGCCAGGCAGCTGACTAGACGGTCTTGTGCCCCCCACATCTGAATGCCACCTGGCAGTTTCGTGTTCAGAGGCTTTCTCTCCTCAAGCACTGGGCCTGTGCCAGGACCCTCTCGGACAGGAGCGCAGCTCTGGACCCATGGTCTTCCAAACCCTTCTGAACTGAGAACTTGGCCAGGCACTAGGGCTTCTCACTCCATCCTTAAAGAAAGTCTCTGTATCTCTGTGCTTTCAGGCTGCTACTCTGACCCCAGAGAGCACCTTTGTGGAAACAGGAAGATTTTGCAGATGCTAAAGTCACCACCCCAGCTAGCATCCTTGCCCGTAAGGATGGGCAGCTGAGGGAGAGGAGATTTAGGAGATTTAGCAGGAAAACCATCTTTCTCCTCCCTGGCCCTGTCCTGCCATGCCTCTCTTTCCATTCATAGGGCTCCCTGGTGCCTGTTAGAACCCCTTCAGCTGCAGGTAACCAAAACCCAGCTCAGGTGGCGTAGATAGGAAGGATGTTCATTGTCTTCCAACCATCTGGAATCTGGCAGGCCCCATGGGACAAGTGAGGCACTTGTCTAAGCCCCTCTGTCCCACCCTGTAGCCTCCTCACCTTCCATGCAGGACAAGCCACCGCCACCGTCCCCAGCATCAAGCAGGTCCATTTTGCCCCCAAACACCTGTGTCTGAGAGCATGGCCAGATCCAGGGTAGGAAGTATACACAAAGATCCCAGAGCATCTTGTCCTGGAAGAAAATAAGACATCCTCAGAAACCACCAGGGTGGTGTTAGAAGGACTCCTGGGCTGAGTGGACAAGGCTCCCACAGGATAAGAGGGACAGTGAGTATCATAGCTGGAATGGGCAGAAATATGACAAAGATTCTTCAGTCCACAAATTCATAATGATACTCAGAGAAAGGCTCACTTATCGCCTCTGCAGGATGCTTGGTGCCACACATAACTTTGGAAACTGGCAAATAGCTGGAAAGGATCAGCCTGAATCCCGTATTCCCTCAGTGAACTGGTGAGGGGACTTTGCTCTGAGTTGAGGTCTCCCCACGTATCATGAAGGGAGAAGCAACAACATTGTTAAGGGCTGACTTCATATGTTGAAGTCCTAACCCTATTCCTCAGGATGTGACTGTATTTGGAGACTGGGTCTTTTGAGGGGTAAAGTGAGGTCATGTGGATGGACCCTAATCCACCTGACTGGTGTCCTTATAAGAGATTATA